ATAGATAGATAGATAGATAGATAGATAGATAGATAGATAGATAGATATTAGAGATAGAGATAGAGATAGAGATAGAGATAGATAGAGAGATAAGAGATAGATAGAGGTGGGGGGGCTGCTTCTAGTTCGCACCGGGTCAGCCAAACCGGTAGTTAAGATTCTGTGTAATTAGTCACTGCTCATTTTTCAGCCTGTTTTCCAGGCAGGTTTTTGGCTGTTTTTCGGCCCTAACCCAAAAATAGACTGAAAACGGGTCGGATAGGCAGGGCCAGCCAATGGTGGGATTAGCCCCAACCAGCTGAACCCTACTTCTGCCTTTGAGGCAAGTGGCCAGGAGGCGGGGCTGGGTGTGATGCCTACCCAGCCAGAGGACCGGTTGTTAAGTTGTTCAAATCCCACCACTGGGTGGATAGATGGATGATGGATGGATGGATGGATGGATGGATGGACGGACAGACATATGTATATGTGTGTGTATGTATATAAAAACATTATACACACACACACATATGCACACTATAATAAAGTAGGTGTAATATATTGATATCCGTGGGGGGCGGAAAAACTGGAATTTCTATTTGCTATTCAAACATTGCATGGGAGAATCCACCCTCAAGTATCTAAAGAGAAGAATACACAGGCGCATAACCGAATGTTGCTTTTGTGGGTAGCTCCTGTTCAAAGCCGTGGTTAGTCTATTGCCATGTCCGTTGTCTTCCTTTTCCCGCAACCATTCCTGCGGCGCAGAGGGTGCAGGACGGTATTAAAAAGTCAACTGTTCTTTCCAACGAAACAGAAAACAAAACCCCCTCCAACTAAGGAATGAATCTTCTCCCTTTTGGCAGAAAAGACTCAGCTGTCATGCCTTGGCCATACTCTCTGCATCTGATCACCCTTTTGTTTCGGAGGAAGAATGAGAAATCTATCAACCCCCTAACGCTGTCGACTGTATTGTATCTCACTAATGGTTTTCTCCCTCCGGACTTGCCGGGCTGAAGGATTTAATAGGGCAATGGGGAAAGAGGAGACGGAGTGGCCCCATCCGCCAAATTACAAGCATTTAGATCTGGTGAGCTGGGGCAACCCCGGGGAGGTGACCTCGAAGGCTTCCTTGCTTGATCTACGACACCCGTCATGGTAGAACCCCGCCCAACATGCATCTGTGTGTCAGCCCACATGGCCATGAAATCAAGACTCCGGGATCATTGGCACATGTCAGAGTATTTGCAGTGTGACTACCATTATGAGAACAACCCCAGGAGCAAAACACAACACGCAGAGACATTTAACGGTGGTGGTTTATATACAAGACATTCTTATATAAATAACTTTACAAGCAAGCAAAACTTCTTCTTAAAAAAGAGAACTCTACAATGAATACTGGACACAAGGAGAGAGGACACGTCCTCTATAATGGCTGCCTTATATAAGCACTTCTTAAAGGGGTAAAACTTCTGTGGACCCACTCTTAGTCTTAAAAGAGCAATACCCATGCTATGCTGATTCATCCTTATTTCATTGGCTAAACTTACAGCGGCTGGCAGCAATTACTGCTGGTCAGTTCTTAAATCTTAATACCTTAACAGCACACTTGTGTGGATGGCCCCTTCGGTCTTTTATTTACGGGTAGACCTTCAACTGAACAAACATGGATTTAGTGACCGAAGTTATAACAGCACTGGAAAAAGGGACTTGCGTCCGGTTTTCACACTTAGCTACCATTGCAGCCCTGGTCACACGATCAAACATTCAGACGCTTGGCAGTTGGCTCGTATTGTGGATGGTTTCAAGTCGAGTGATTCCCCTTTTGTGGCCTTCTGACAAAGGAAGTTGATGTGGAGCCCTTTTACAAGGTTTTGTCAACCCTTGTTGACAGCTAGGTTATTTTTCTTCTGTAAAAATTGCCTTGATTAGAAAAGAAAAGAAGCTAGTCCTCATTCGTTTTCTTTCTTTCTTTCTTTCTTTCTTTCTTTCTTTCTTTCTTTCTTTCTTTCTTTCTTTC